CCCCCGTCCCGCCCTTCCTTCCTCTTTCTTTCTCTTCGTCGCGAACGAGAAACGTCGGTGTGGATCGCGAGAGTTGACGAAATTAGGAACGCGCGACGATATCTGGATCGCGCGGAAACCGCACGCGCTAACCATCCCCGATGCCCGCGCGCCTTTTCTCTTTCTCTAGCTCTTCGTACTATTTCGCTTTTTCGTCCACTCTCTTTCCAGCTCTCCAACTTCTCTACCCGCGCGTCGTCTTCGTTTTTCTTATTTTCCTCCTTCGCCTCCTCCTTCTCCTGTTTTTTAACGTTTCCTCTTTCCCGTTTGCGTGAGTTGCACACGCTGCCGCGACCATCCAGGGCCGACGACTTATGGGACGCTTGTTACCGGTACCGCGCGCGCAAATAGCTCAGGGGATACCGGGGAGCGTAGCGTTACGACCGATTTCTTGGAATTCGAGTCGGATTTCGTAGAAGAGGTTCGAGAAACCGACCAATCGGAACGGTAATAGCCCGACGATTCATTTGACTCGTGGCTTTTCTTAACCCCCCTCCGCCGACGCGATCCGCCAGACCATCTCTGTCATCTACCTTTCCTCTGCCAGTCTTCTCCTCTCTCTTCAACACCTGTGCCAACCAACGACGACAAAAAATTGTTTTCGCCAACAAGCGCCGTGTCGCGCGTACGTGACTCATATCTCGTCGATTACCCCCTATGAAAACAATGCATTCTCCATCGCCGGACGATACACGCAGGGCCGATGCTCGTCGTCGTCCAATTTACGTCTTTAACGCTTCGCGATAAACCTTCCGTTTCCCGTCCTTGCTCCGAGCGCATCATCTACTTTTCCAACTGTTTTCTCTTCTCCCTCGCTCCCCCTTTTTTCCGCGTTCCGCCGATCTCTCTCCGCCAAGCGACCTCGAGAGAGGGTGTACAGGCTGGTGGTATCGTCGATCGGGATCTCTACGGATGCGAAAATGGAGGAGAAACGCGTGGCAAAACAGGCACGAGGAACCTGTCGATTCGAACGTTGACCGCCGTCGACACCCGTTCGTGTAAACAAAGTAACAGACGCAAACATTCTCGGCGGAAGTAACTCGTTAAAACTTGAATGTCCGTCGTAGTCGAAGAAACCCGAACGTATACAAACCTTTGGTTAATCGTCGCGATGCTTTCGCGTCGAGTCGCAATGGAAATTCAAGCGGAATCCCAGTCGAGGTGGAACGTTCGAACGACGACAGAGAACACGAGGACGACGGAAAGACGATCGCGACGACGAGGTGAACAACGAGGAAGCGACGCGACGCCGGCACACTCTTTCGCCACCTGCTTCCGACAACCATTACCTTGACACCGCCGCGATGGACTGATTACGAGAGTCATAGTTACTCCCGCCGTTTACCCGCGCTTTTTTGAATATCTCTGAACTCGTTCGAGAACGTCGAGCCAATTCGCCGGTTTATCCGTCGACTCCACACTTCCGCTCATCGACCCTGATGCACCACCACGATGACCAGCGACAGCAGCGGCTCTTCTAACTGCCGCCTTTTTTTATGCAAACCAATTCCATCCACGGAACGGACAAGGTTTCTCGTCGGACGTTCGTCCAACGTCCAAATCGGCCTTCTTCCCTGTTTAACAATTCAACGAACAATGAACAGCGCGACAAGGAAGGAGGCGGCAAGCTGCCTTCCTTCGTTGCGTAAAGTTAAACCAGACGTAGTACGCTTACCGTAAATCCCATCTCCGTTTACGTGTCGGTCTTCGTAGCATCGGCACCTGGCCACTATTCGTCCATGAAAAATCCGTGTACTTTCCAATGGTCAGGCAGCAGCCATCGCGAAATATCGCTGAAATCTGTTCTCGCCTGTATCAACGCTACGACAGTTATTCTTACGATTTTCATCGGCTCACTCGTATCTATTCGATAACATCTCGAGCGACGCAAAAATCTCATCCTCGAGCTGTTTTTCGACCACAGTGATACACGAAACGCGAACAGATTTCGGAAAACCCGCCATTTCGACATAATCGTCGACGTAATTATCGCGGATACGAAGATCATTCCGATTCTCTGTCAGTTACCACCTTCCCCCCTCCCGGCCATTTTGCGTTCAACGCGGATCGTTTCGTTTTCATTTCGGATGTATATACAACGCTTTATGCGCAGCTCGCACTCGTTCATTCGAACCCACGACTTTACACGCGACCGTACCAGCAGACCTGACCACCACACGTCCATCGATGACACTATTGTTTATTCTATTTCTCCGCGCTGCGCTTTCACGACGCACTTTTTTTTCTTTCGTGATTCACGCTCCACTTTCGCTCTCGATTAATCCACCTTTTCGCTGCTGCTGCCTCGTTAACTCCGTCAATAATTCTCACCGATCGGAAATGTAGTAAATCGTAAACCGCTTCTTGTCCGAAACGATTTTTCACCGCGAGACGACTTCGATCGCGTTAGCATCCGGCCTTTCTCGATGTAAACAACGATAACCTCTTTTGCATCGGGACAAAATTACCACGCGAAGAAACAAAGCGACTACCTTTTCGTTCGACGCGTTTTTTCTTTTTTTTTTTTTTTCTCAAGTTCCTCTTTTGATGAAAGAAATAAAACTATGATTTTCTCGCGGCGTAGAAATCTTTCAGAGCGTCCAACATTCGAAAACGAAGCAGTCTTGTTGCGTCACTTTCCGCGAGAGGTCGTTCACGCGCCATCACAGCTCGATTCGACAACGAAAATTCGCTTCGTTACGAGATGGCGTGCGAGTGCGCACGTATGTAGTTTGTTTTCACTTTGACCAGTCGTGTCACGTAGCAGAGGTTTATCGTCGATGATATATCGAATTTCGTGAATCTCGTTTCGGAATAGAAACGTTGAGACGCGATATAAAGAAAACTAAACGCCTTAATGGATACGTCGAGCTTTCCAATCGTCAAAATGCAAAGGATAGATACAAGCGGATACGAAAGGATAAATATTTAACATTTCGCGAATAATTCGAAAGGAGTTGACGGAAAATGCTTCAAACGCTACGCGAACGTTCGCAGAAACGCAAGAAATTGCTGGCTCAGACGGTGAGTACGATTCCAGCGCGATGTCGCGTTGTTGAGGTTATGATTTCCAACCTCAAAAAGTTTGCGAAAGGTACGAATTCGTTTCTTCTTGCACGTAGCTAGGTGTTTCTAGCGTCGACGAGTTGCGACAAATTCTTGGCACGGATGTGGACGATTCGCAAAAGAAAAAGATAAAATCCGTAACGGAGAAATCCGAAAACGGAGTAAAAGATTGCAAGAGCGAAGCGGCTCCGACCGACGAAATCGTCTACAAGGATTCGTCGACGTTTCTAAAGGTATGGAAATTTTAGTTTATAGCAAAAGTAAAATCGATCGTTTTCCACATTTGTGTATAAATTTATCGTTTAAGGGGACGCAATCGTCGAATCCGCACAACGACTATTGTCAACACTTTATCGACACGGGACAGCGGCCGCAAAATTTCATCAGAGACGTCGGTCTGGCGGATAGATTCGAGGAATATCCGAAATTACGAGAACTGATCAAATTGAAAGACGACTTAATCGCCGAGACCGCGACACCGCCAATGTATCTAAAGACCGATCTGCTTTCTTACAATTTGAAAGAACTAAATTGCAAGTTCGACGTGATTTTGATCGAGCCGCCGTTGGAGGAATATCAACGCACTTGCGGTGCTACGAACGTGCAACTTTGGAATTGGGATCAGGTGAGTACGGAACGTTTTACAATTTCCTGTTACTCGCGCGTATTAAAAACAACTTCGTAGATAATGGAATTAGATATCGGCGAAGTGGCGGCCAATCGGAGCTTCGTGTTTCTGTGGTGCGGTAGTAGCGACGGATTAGATATGGGACGTTTTTGCCTTCGGAAATGGGGTTTCAGACGATGCGAAGACATATGCTGGATTCGCACCAACATCAATAATCCGGGACACAGTAAAAATCTGGACAGTAAGGCGGTACTTCAGAGAACTAAAGAGCACTGTTTGATGGGCATCAAGGGGACCGTTCGGCGTTCCACGGACGGTGATTTCATTCACGCTAACGTAGACATCGATCTGATCATTTCGGAGGAGCCCGAGTACGGTTCTATAGAGAAACCCGTGGAAATTTTTCACATAATCGAGCACTTTTGCCTCGGTAGACGACGGTAAGAGAAAACCAACAAAACCTTTACCGTACATCTCTTGAATAATAATAATAATAATAATAATAATAATAACAACAACAACAACAACAACAACAATAACAACACGTATCTTTCGCATTCTTTATAGCTTGCATTTGTTCGGACGCGACAGCACCATTCGACCAGGCTGGCTTACAGTCGGACCAGAATTAACCAATACGAACTTCAACGCGGATCTTTATACCAGTTACTTTGCCAACGGTCAAATTACCACTGGTTGTACGGAACGCATCGAAGCTCTAAGACCAAAGTCACCACCGCCAAAGGGAAAAGTTGTCGGTCGAGTTAGAGGCGGTTTCAGCCGAGGTCGAGGTAGAGGAAGGTAAAACGGTTCGCACGCATCGATGCTAGTGTTTCAACCCTCTTCTATACGCGATAAACTTTACACAACTATTTTAATTTCTTTCGCTAAAAGATTCTGTACCACACGAAGAGAACTTGTACCTTTTTTGTATTGTACGATATTTCGCTTTACACATATTGTTATATAGTTTGTTTCGAATATGCCGCGCTACCGAATATTCCAATTCTCTCCGACGCTAGCGTGTAAATATAATTACGCAACGAATTAGTTGACGCGTGGCTATTATCGAAACTAAACTAACTAGAATAGACTCTTTCGCGTCTCGATTCGTCATTTAAGATCAGGTCGCGACGTCTTTGACAGTATACACCGCGTTATATGTAAATACTTTTGTCCATTCGCATCGCATTTGGAATATTTTGTAACGCAAATCAACATACACAACATGTTTGAAATAAAGTTCAGTCGAATCAAAGATCATCGAATATGTGAATGCAACTTTACGTTTAATTGCGCGTATGGGTCGTTTAAGGATTACATCGATCGGATTACCTTTTTGTCGCCAACGATAATCACACGTTAAAAAAGAGATCGACAAGAGACGAGAGACGAGACAACGGCATAATTTGCCGAACGCTTAGTAAATTTTCGACTAATTGCTTAACAACGATTATTATAAAGTATCTTAAGTATACGCATTCTTAAACACAAACGCGATTATTTCGAAACGTTTAGAGATCCGGTCGTGTTACTTTGTACTTTGTGTGTTGAAAATATCGAAATACCTATGAATACGACTAACGATAGTTAACTACATTTACAACTTTTATACGATCCGCGGAAACTTACGAACAAATTTCTTGGCCCCAGTAAAGCTTCCGGTAGTATAGGATACATATTCGGTAAATGGTTCGCGTATCTAAACGCTTCCTATCTAAAACTTTACACGGACTTTAGACGTAAACGAAGAAGAGGAACCGATCATGCTCGACGACGATCGATCTACCTAGCTTCCAATTTGTACACCTCCAAGAACAATGTTCTTCGCTTTTCGTCGCTGAAACGTCGCCAAAATTTTCGATCACTACTAAATATATATATATATACGCTCGATGACTACGATAAATTAAAAATGTCAAATAATTACTCCGATAGTGAGAAATAATATAAACATACTCGTTATGCTGATGCAACGCGTAAAGCGATTAAAACTTTCGAAGAAGACCGAGTATTCTTAACATCGCTGTAACGCTTTATCTGCTTCTACAACCAACGTGAGAATCAATTTTCTCGCTAAAAACGGTAATTAATCGGTAAAAAGAAAAGGAAATTATCTTTCGAATAAAATTAAACAACGAAGCAAACGTATCCGTATCCGTGGCTTAAAATCAACGATCGTCGATACGAGTAAAAGCATCTATACGCGACTATAAAATATATATATCCAACTAATAGCTGTCATCGATATAAAATACAAACGACACGCGAATTCGCGAGAAACGAACGTCTAGGAATTAAAATCGGTCAACGGTACACTATCGGTCGCCGAAAGCATAAGTTACGAGGTATCGACGTTAAGAATCGCGAGTCTTCCTTTCTTTTCTTTTCTTTTTTCCTTTTTTTCCTTTTTTTCCTTTTTTTCCTTTTTTTTTTCTCTTTCCTTTTCACACAGTCTTCTATAAAGCGATTCGCCGAAAAACGATCGCATTTTTTTTTTCTTTTTCTTTTTCTTTTTCTACAAATGTTTCGTATACGCGAAGTGAAAAATCTTACGAATCGTAAAAATAATTGTGGCGAGATTGAGATTGAGATAGATAGATGGAAAGAGAGATAAAGAGATAGAGATAGATAGATAGAGAGAGAGAGAGAAAGAGAGAGAGAGAAACGCAAACAGTATGAAATTCTACCAGTATTTAAGAAGAATACGGATATGTATATGTAGCGGTGGACTGGTAGACGCACAGGCGGAACTCGTTGATTATCATCGACTGCTCGACGATTTTCGTTCGTTCTCGTGAGTAAACGATGAGTCGCAGTCGGATGGACCGTTTTTCGAGAGTGGAATTTAGCTCTGATCGGTCACCATCGGTCTACAGTTTCAAAGTCACAAATAGGTGGACTCCCCTGTAAGCAGAGCCAGCGTGAATTACTTGAAAATTTGTGATATTAGCATATATAGTTAAGGAAAGGCTAACGCAACGTCGCGTCGAACGGATGCGTACCTGTGTAGAAATATTTAAATTTCTGCGAGTGCGATTGGCAAGGATCTCGGTTTTCCTCGTTTCCTACCGCATGCACAGCGTTTCCTAGCGTGTTTCATAGCAACAAACAAAAATCATCGTTAAAACATCGATATTCGCGTATCGGTGAGGAAAAATCGAAATGGGAAGAAGGAAGAAAAGAAGCGAAAGAGAATGCAAAAGTATGAAACGGAATAGAAAGTGGCAGCGTGCTAATCTACTCGCGTTCTCCGATGTTCGATATTCGGATAATAAACGATCGAAAAAGATGGAGGGAACGAAATATGTATGTGGAGAGTTGTATTCGTATACAATATCACAGAAAAAAATAATGCATCTTATTTATATTTTGAACATTCCGCATGAATCATATAAAAGTTAGTTTTAAGAGATATCACTTATAAAACGGTATTCATGAGCCTCGTATGAGAAAAAATATGTCCGAGAAGCGTGTACGTTACAAGAAGTAACAATATGGTACATACGTATGCCATAATTATTGGTACGTAAAAACGTATTTAGTAAGTTTACCTTCATCGTTACTTTTCCAGAGTAAATGACTGAGATTATTAGTTCATCAGCGAACCAACGGGTGCGAATAAAATAGTTCGAGCGAGGTAAATTTACTAAAATTCGTTCGAGGTAATCCAAAAATCGCCACTTGATAACGCGAATACGCATTTCGTTCGTTTTCACACGCTGTTTTTCACTTTTGCACGCATGCGCTCTCTCTCTCTCTCTCTCTCTCTCTCTCTCTCTCTCCCCCTTTTTCTCGGCTTCTCACACACGCATGTACTCGCTCGCGTACGCGCGCACTCACTCACTCACCCGCTCGCTCGCTCGCTCGCTCACTCACTCACTCACTCAGTCCCTCACTCAATCAATCAATCAATCAGTCAATCATATACATGCCCACAGACGCGTGCTCTCTTCTGCTCCACCTGCCTACCTCCGCATCCCTCTCTCACACCTTTTCGTTTTTCCTTTCATTCTGTCGATCATAAAACTCGATTTCAATGACAAAAAGAAAGTCAGACACAGGATTAAAGATAGATTCTGAAATACGCGTGATCGGAATTTATTCTAAAAACAAGAACGCGCGTCCTTTTCGACGCATTCTTTTCGACATGCTTACGCAAACCGCGTACCAACGTATTTATCGTATCGTAACTAATTCTATCGAAATTTCGTAACCTTACGATAGCACGTTATATCAACGAACGAGAAAGATACGAACGAAAAGATGCACGAGCGAACGATAACGAACGTCATGGTTTACGGGTTTAATCGTGCGCGCATATTGGCGAATAGCCTCGTCTAGCTGTCACGCCTCGAGCCTATGCGATCGATCTATACTCGTGAAATAGCAAAAGAGAGAAAGCGTTAACGGTAAGCCAGTGTGAAATTCTCTTGGATCCGATACGTTTCCTTCGGAAGAAATTAGCTTTGGCTGGTATGTATCTCTCCTCCTTGTCGCGTATACGTCTCGATCCTATACATACTACCCGATCCATTTCCCGATCTATCGTGATTTCACGCGCGTCACTCGTACGGATCCCAATCCTATTGTCGATCAAAGCACGAACGAAAGAAAGAACGGATAAATGGGAGAATGACTGTATGAGCGAAACAATAAGAAACGCCAACTAGATCGATGATGCATACGACGTGGTTGTCGTCGTTTAGCTGCACCGAGTTACGGACTATCATCGTATCGCAACGTACAAGCTATGAATTAGGAAAGGACGGCGTCAGAAACGATACTTGTTGCGTTCTCTGTGCTCTTTCGTATCCTTCGCATACTCGATCAAACGAACTCGATTCTCCTTCGGAAATCATAAGGATTCGCGTACTTGGCAAATAGCAAGTAAACTACGAAATTTCTCGTTCGAACGAAATTTCATGGAAAAATCGATCTACGTAGCACGCGTTACCACGTACGCAGACGAGCACATTCGATTTTACAAAAGCCTAACGCGCGAATCGTTCGTCCGCGAACATGGCAACGTTAGACCGGCCGTGGTCGATTGTTCGATCCCAAGACGCGGATAGCTTTCGAGTCCGACTATTTTGCATTTTCCCGAAATAGCGTTGAACGAACAACCACCGAAAATATCGATCGTCAGACACTTACAGCGAGTAGTCGGTTTAGAATCCATTCGACCCGAACCTCGATGTCGTGCGTCCGACTTTGCTGCAGGGAGAACGAAAAATTGCCAACTCTACATCGAATAGTTGCACGCTTCTACTTTTCACGGTACGAATCACAAGTTTCTCATAAACGTCTTAAACCCTCTCGGACGAGGGTAAAGATTTTTACGCGCACCACGATCACGAGTCGAAACGAGAAACATTGCACGGCGAAATTTTTCGATAGCTGTGCGATATTTCCACGACTCGAGCACGATACGTTCTACATCACTCGTTTCTTCTCTTTTCGTTACGCTCTTTTTCTTATTTTCATTCCTTCTTTTTCGTATTATATATACACAAACATCCGATCGCAGGGATTCGTCAGACAAGATCGTTCGATACATTTTTCTCAGGAGATCTGCCATGGTCGGTAAATGTTTGCTAAATTATACCGAATATCGTTAAAAAACATAATTTTACGCGTTTAGCAAGTACAGTGATACAATGTGTATCGAGTCGATCATCCTTACAGAGGAAAAAAGGTTAATGTAAAACTAACGATAAACATTATCGTCATCGAACGATGAACCAAGCAACATTATTGTCCTCGTTGTCATCGTCATCGGAATAGTCACCGTCATTGCCTTTGTCTTTATCTTAAATCTTTGTCTTGGGTCGTTGTCGTCCGTCGTTGCGGTCGTCGTTGCGGTCGTCGTTGCGGTCGTCGTGGTGGTCGTCGGATACCGATATTGTTATAATTCTCGTAAATATTGGTGTTGCCAATGTTGCCTTTGTCGTTACCGTTCTTATTGACTTACAATTTAATAATGTTACGAAAATAATCTTGCTTTTTTCTTTACAGCATTATTCTCCCATCTGGATTCATAATCTATATAAAGACTCTTTCTCAGCCTATAGTCCAACTCGGGTATTCCTTCGAAACACTAGCCATTGTCTCGTATTCGTGAGAACGCGCAACTCGACTAAACAGTAATGTCCGCAAGGAATACCGTCGATCGCGTTAATTCACCCACGAAACAATGTTAAATGTTACACAAGCCGCTTTATATGCTAATACAGTGTGCCGAGCTTGGAATTTCTCTTTAACGTTTACATTTGTTCTTTCCTTTCGTAGCATTAACTCGTTGCTTCTCTTTTTTCCGTTCCCTTTTCGAATCTTGGAACAGATTCAACGACGTTTCGCCCAGAGAATTTCCAACTCGTTCGTGATAAATATAAAATATGCCCTTTAAAAAAACATTCGTTTATATTTGATGCCTGTATATAAATTTCGAAAAACTCTAAGACCCAACGCATCCAAGAAGAGGAAGCGCGCGCGCGTATGTGTGTGTGTGTGTGTGTGTGTACGGGTGTGTGGGAGTGTGTCGTGCGAACCAAAAGGATGGGCGCTTGTCAAAAAATTTTAAAACGAATCCTTAAAACAACGTATCCTTAAAACGCAAACTTTCCAAGTACAAAATAAAATTTCTGTATCGGTATAAACGTTTCTTTGGCTTGTTGGATCCAATATGCGTCATCTAACAACACTTTACATATCGTCGAAAGGACACGATAATTTGATCGAACGTAACATTCCAATCGATCGGATATCTTCGATGATAAAGACAATAGTCGAGTTTCTAACGTCCGCGCGTTATTACGCGAGCGACAGCAATGTCGAAGAACGTAGAGGGATGACTGGCGATGGACTCATAAAACATCTATCATTCCTCCGTCTGAGAGAAGGCGGTATCGTCCAACACGCTGGTCCATGTCCACTAGGGGTGAACAGACATATAGAGAGACAGTTGGTCAATATCGTGTAATTGAATTTTTAGAACGATTCTACGTCTAAATACAATACGGTGCGGTGCGGTGCGGTGCGGTGGAGGGCAAAGTGACATCACGAACAAATATATATATATAGATATATATATATATATATCTTCTCCTTCCCTTCTTTATTTCGTTTCAAGCAAATATCTATCTCTCTCCCTCTCTCGTTATTTTTCTATCTATTTATGCATCTATCTATTAGACTATCTATTCATATGTCCATCTGACCATTTATCTATCTATCTTTTTCACTGTGCGCGCGATATTTATTCTTTTCTTTTTTCTTTCCTCCAAAGTTTGCGTTTCGTCATTTTTTGTCGACGATACACACGCGAAACGAGAGAAACACGCGTTAACGATCAACGATCGAATAGATCAGCCAACACTCGTACCCCCACCGTATTAAATTCGTAATAAGATTTAACGCGATAACGAGACAACACCACGTAGCACTACATTCGAACATGCGAAAGAAAAGAGGAAATGATAAAGCCGATGCATCCAGCAAATCACATTAAAGTATACAGCATTCTCGAAGGTAAGAAGCGAAAAAAGAATATGGAAAATGCTTTCAACCGTTGCGTAAACGAGCGAAAGAAACGTACAAGATAAGAGAGCTTCTACGACTAGGCAAATAAAATAGCGAAAAAATATCTGCGTGATCGAGGTTTACGATTCAACTTGGAATACTGTCAAACGATAATATGATCTACTATGCTCAAATCTTGTATTCGACGGAAGCACATTCTGATACATTCGCAAAACACACGCCAACGCAAGAATGCTACGTTTCCATCTCGTGCAGCAAGGATTCGAAACTAGGCAAAATGTAGCGACGTTTAATTACGAAATGCTACTAGCAAGTGTCACACCGACATACGAATGCATACAGAAATTCAAACACGGTCTCGCAAAGGCCAATTACGTTACTGTTCTAGCAAATTATTTAGAATGTGCTTCGTGTATACGTACAACGTTTGAGCCCGATCGATGAGTCAAGCACTTCATAGTCCTCCCGTACATAAGGAACTATAAGGAGAAAGCGTTACAAACCATGTACACGTTTTATTTTTTACCAATCGAGAGGGAACTAGTATATAGGTACAAACAAAGGGGCAAGGAACCAATAGGCAAGTACTAGATAAATAAAAATTTCTCCAAGTATTAAACTCTTTGGGTGAAGTTTGCATAATAGAGAGAGAATTGGTAGACGTAAGTAAAAAGATCTAAAGGTGTAACTATTTTATAACTGCAATGCATGTATAACATTATCCTTAAAATATTTGTTACAAGAATACATTTATAATATAAGAATACGTTTAAGAACCGCTAATATTTTATTTACGATATCGATAATAGTAAGAATAAGAATACTAATAATACCACTACTACTACTACTACTACTACTACTAATAATAATAATAATAATAATAATAATAATAATAGTAACGATAATTATGATGGTGACGATGACGATGAGGGTGATGATAATAGTAATAAGAATAATTATTATTATTATAACAGTAATAATAAGAATAACGAGAGAGGTGATCGTTTGGTTTCTGGTAACGGCAATGCTACCCGAGTAGATCGCTCGCAGCGCGGAAAGAACCTACGGAGAACCAAAGATGAACGGACCCAACTTTGTGTCCACGATTTTGGAGACCATGCGACAAGTTACGTCTAAACAGAGGAATGTCGGTACAGCCATTACAAATGGATTGCAACGGATCGTCGATTACTTTCTTGTAGTTGCGATCCATCGAAGCAGAAAGTTGTGCAAGAGTTAAACGAAGAATAAAAAGAAGTTTGACAATTGCGAAAAGAATCGTATAAAGATCGAACGAGTACGGTGCTTAGGATACGAGTATACTATGCGAGAATATGGAGAATATAGTTTTGCACAAGATGTGATCGGAAAATCTCGGTCGAGCCTCTGCATGACAGAAACATTAATGACGATGTCGCCGCGGTCGTGAATGCCCGTAACACCAATCTAGCGCGAATAAAGCTAAATCAAATTATAACGAGAATCTACTGGCAAGGGATGGCAAGAGACTTCAGCTGGCACTCTCGAAAACCACGATTGCCATCGTCGTTATTTTCACAAGGACGAAGCTCTCGAGTTTAAACTAGGCGTCAAAGTGGCCAGGACTAATCCGTAAAGCGTACGATAAGATGGTAGCAGTGACTAGTAGCACCGAGCAAGCTACTGGCCAACGTAGAAGCCATGCAAAAGAATATCGTTGACGGATACAGCCGAGTCCAGAACGCAAGAAAGTACGTGGCTTCCGTCCAACTACGATCGGGGGGTATCGTCAGCATAGATCTGCCTGCTTAAGAACACAAGGACATCTTTGGTCGGAGCACGGAGTTGAGCAGAACGATAGCTGCAACAACGATAGGGGTGACCACGCTAATGAACGATGAATGGTACCGTTTATAAAGGGTCTAGGCTCCCGGATAAAGTGGGGTTACAGAGCGGGCAATTTCTACGTGACTCAGTTCTCGACGAGACACGCATATTTTCGGACGTACTTGCACAGGATGAGCAAAACGAGAAGTTACCTCATCAGTGCCGATATCGCAGAATGGACGAGGACGACTCGCGACGCATGTCTTACCGGTGCGACCGCTTCTTCTTCGTTGAAGGAACGGCACTTATCGACGAAATAAGGCTCGCGATAACATCGTGCGGGTAATATTCAAAGATGAAGGGGATTAAGCAAAGACAAGAAGAATTAGAAAGGTATTACGGCATAGTACAGCACGATCTATATCGAAGTAATACGGAAACAGTTCCAGCCGAGTTCACTATGAGAAAGGGAGGTAGTCTTTAATACGGTCGCCACGCACGATAATTCCACATAATCTAGCACCGCGAACCCTGCTAGGTACTTTTTCAAAACATTTTCCATCTGTCGTTGAAAAGAAAGAGAAAATAACGATAATAATATTAATAGTAACAATGGTAATAATGATGATGGTAATAACTATAACAACAACAACAACAACAACAACAACGACGACGACGACGACGACGACAACAAAAATAATAATAATAGTAATAATTATGACGATGATAATGATGATTATGATGATGATGATGATGATGATGATGATGGTGATGGTGATGATGATGATGGTGATGGTGATGGTAATGGTAGTCGTGGTGTTAATAAGAATAATGGCGGTAATAATAATAAAAATAGTATCAGTAACAGTAACAGTAACAGTAAGAGCAGTAGTAGCAGTAGTAGTAATAGCAGTAGTCGCTGTAGCAACAGCAGTATAGTCGTAATAATAATAGTAATAGTAGTAGCAATAACAACGATAATAATTATGACGATGATTATAACGACGACAATGAGAGGTCGATGGCAACGACGATGTGGTCGATGATAATGGCGATAACGATGACGATGACGACGACGGTGATAATCATAATAATAATAATGATAATCATAATAATCATAATAATAGTAATAATAATAATAGTAATAATAAAAGTAGTAGTAGTAGTAGTAATAATAATAATAATGATGTCGATGATGATGATGATGATGATGATGATGATAATGAGAATAATAATGACATTAATAGTAATAATAGTAATAGTAATAATAATAAGAGCAATAACAAGATAATAATAATTAATAATAAGAATATATAAAGATATAGCAACGATATAATTAATAATCATAAGTATAATAGTATCACAAAATAATCGTTACAGCATATGTAGTAGAGATGTCGTCTATCAGTTTCATAAATTTCAAATATTACAAACATCCGATAACTACGATTATGTACTACCAACATGCAGCGATACAAAAACCAGAATAAAATTAGGGTGTATCGAAGTGTTTTAATATATCATAGTCCTAGACATACGCCGAAAAAACGAGATATCGTTTTGTCTATTTGTAGTTTAAACAGTGACAATGGTGACAAGTTTTCTTTCATCTTCGCATACTCATGCATGACACGTTAAAATTACGAAAATTATTAAGCACGTACAAGAACTACAATCTATAAGGTGAACAATTCAGAAAGGAACTATCGACAAACGATACAATTTCCAACAATTGAAAATCATCTGAATATCTAATCCCTGCATGGTTAAAAAATTGTCCAATTATTATAATATTTACTACATATTTACAAAATTAGCACGTATAAAAATCTAAAATCACCGTGTATCAACAGCTTCGAAGATATCTTTCTATCTATACGATATTATTCCGTGTCATTTGGAATTTCGTATCTCCGTTATGCTTTCTTCGCTAATGCAATTATATTAATAACAACAATCACATATAAGTTTCATCGAAACATTCGTAAGTTTTCTATTTTACTCTCATGCACAACCTACAACCTTACGATCTTTTACGCAGTTACATCGTATATAGAAATTTCAATTCATCACATGTTCAAATGCGTAAATCAATCGGCAGAAAGAAGTAAATTAAAAACTTTTCAAACAACTATAAATTTCGTGATTTTCCATCGCGTCATTTTCGAAAAAACTTAGAATACTTGAAAAGAAGAAAGAGAAAAGGAAGGGGGCAGGGGAGAGGGAAGAGGGGGTCGGAGGGGTGAAGAAATGTGATTTACCAAGCCCGACAAAGAACAACCAGACGAAGGGTTCGAGATTAACGTACTGCGTACGCGTTTAATCGAAACGCGTGAATCTGTATATGATCGGACAGAAAAGAAAGATTCGATGCGAATAAATTGAAAGGTAATAAGCTTTATAAGGAAAATGAAAATAAAGCGAATAGGTGAAGCATGCCCGTGAAGAAACTTTATCTACGTATCGAGTAACAAGTTTCGACTCTAATTTATTTCTCGATAGTGTATATCGCTGCCCAACGTACACACGTATTCGCTTCGTGATCATGTCCATAGACGCTTAAATCGTGTCTGCATAGCTGTTCAAATATTCGTGAAAAGTAATTATACGTAGCCAATAGAGAAATAATTTTGTCGGTAAATCCAATATTAGGACACTGTCAAATTTTCCTACAATATGTGCAATGCTTCGCATCCCGTATCGCAAGTATTATAATTTCGTAAAGCTACTACCACGCGTATATATTTCATTTCTACGTAATTATTATTATTATTCGTATCACAAATTTCAATTTCAACGAATTCGTAATTCAATGAACGATTTTCCAGTCGATATTCGATACGAACGAATTAACGGTTCCACTATAATTCAACGCGCGTAAAATATCAGTTTTAAGACCGCATTTTTAAAACGGAATTTTACGCGGTTGTGGCAAATATTTTCAATGTATATTCGTTGCGGATTTCCTGTGACTACGTCGATACTAGATATTCATTTACAAGAAAAAAGGAAAAGAAAAACGGGAGACGAACAGAAATAGAAAATAACATATGTCTCTGAAATTGCATGATACTTATATGTAAGAAAAACAAGTTAATATCCTTAGGATAATGTTACTCCGTTAGGTAATTTCTAAATGTTTGTACAAGGATATAACCTTTGTATTGTATTGACAAAACAAAGATTCACACGCGATAATTTCCGAGATAGAATACGATAGCTTAATCGAAATTAAATGTACCTTGTCATCGGTATAAAAATCATGTTTGCTAGATATCAAGGAATACGAGTTTAGAAAATTGCACAGCCTGTTAATATTTAACATATTTCTATTACGAAATCGAAAGGATGAAATTTTCTGTACATGTAAATGTGTTATCTTACAACTTTTGACTACAACCCTCCACTCAAATCTACGCGAATTAGCTTTGCTATTTCAAAAATATTAACGACCATCACAGGGTATAAGGCAATCAGGATACATTTAAGTTGTCCGTTTTCTTCATAATGCCACGAAGAATACAAGTACAAACGGTAAGATGTTACGATTACAAATTGTCGCGTTTCTTATTCCCGTACTTATCGTATTGGTCAATTATCTTCTAGAAGTTGACTTTGTCATACAGTTACAAAACAAATACTAGATTCGTACATAGTACGTTATTACATAATTAATTGCATAAACGCAAAAGACGGCACTTTCTTTTCAACGCTAATTGTAAGAATTCTCTTATTCGATATATATATATATATCAAATTGTTCTTCTACTTCGAATAATATTCTAATAAACAGTCAATGAGAAAAAATATTTGAAAAATCTAACGAAACATAAATGAAACACATACATATATCTATTTAATAGTCGTAATATAGATTCATTTGCTTTTTCAATGATCTTTAATAAATACCCAATAATCCCTACGTAGAAAAAAAGAATCGTAACTCTCGAATACTGGAACATCTTAATATTTTGCAAATAATATCTGTTATGCAAAAACATACAATATCTTAATTGCAATTCTAGTTCAGAACATTCGATGAAATTTTTCATATCGCCTATTACATATATTATTATAACGTTAAACTTTTCTGTTAAATAGTGATAAGATCGATTATTCAACTACAACTTTGAAACAATTACAACAAAGTATTAAAAATTCATTCGGCAAGTATTATCTTGCCAAAAGAATAATGAAATATTTTAGACATTCTACCGATTTCTTAAAATTTTCTTTCCAAAGTATCTTTCAAAGCTCTTTGTCTTTATTCTTCGAAACTGATCAGTCTAAATCGTTCTATCAACTCATAACATTGTTCAACGATAAAGGATATTAGGTAAAATCGATGCATTTAAGAACTGATCGAATGCTAATTTTTCATGCTGGCATAACAAAGGAAAACTAATAGCACGATCTGGTTTCACATAAACCTGTAAAGCTCGGATGCCCGTTCAGAAAACTCAGTGTTTTAAGTACAAAATATTGTATCTACGTACGTATGTATATGTATGTATGTATGTATGTATGCATATGTAGTCGCGCGCGCGGGTTGTGTGGATTGTATATGTATGTGAATTGCGTGCACGCACGCGCGCGCGCGCGCGAGTGTTATGTGTCTAACGTGGCTGAACGTACGAGAGCTGAAGAACGTTTCACATTGCCAGTACTTTGCCGATGGCTACTTCTACTTTTATCCCCACGTGAGAGTAAACCCTTTGCAGTTTCTCTGAAACTAGCTCTTTGGTGGATACTAACGTGTGTACGGCTACTGCTGTGTGTAAGAGGATGGTGATTCACCACCAGAGATGCAGAGGACTCACCAGATTCCCCATCTTCATCTCCCGTTGTATCTCCGGTTGTATCGCATTCACTACTGTCTGCTTCGCTCGATTCACTCGGAGTATCTTGTCCTCCCATTCCTATTTGTATATCCTCTCCTGTTCTATTTGTCGTCGTTGGTACAGCTTGCGATATATTACCACCCATTCGATGCATAAATAAGCTAACCTACAACAGACATCAAACCAATCAGTATAACATATTTGACAAAATTCAGATTAATATTAAAATATATATTTAACGCATCGAGTATAAAATACACACGTGTTTGCAATACACGTACACTTACTTTAAAATCCGCACTGTACACTTTGTGATGTTTATCTTTGTGTGCGTCATCTAAACCCCATTTATCTATACTTAAAACAAGAGTAGGTGGCATAGGTCCGAGACTAGCTAGCGATCCGGCTCTGGGTTTTATATGCGGCATAACTACTGGTAATTCCATAGTCGTACCATCGCAACTCAATGCCCTAGTTGAACGCTCAACTGGTAACTCTCCGTTATCGTATTCCGGTGTTAAGTAGTCCCGTACGAAAAATGTATTGAACCAAAAATGAAACAACTTCTCCTAAATAGCAAGCAACGAAGGATTAATTTTCATTACCATATTATCAATCCTACATGTTATTTATTTTAATAAGCGTAGAATAAATACCTTTCGCTTCATTTTTGGCCTATTAAAGAAATCCATTCTTATATCTCCCGTCAATGCTACGCTATGTTTCAAAGGAATGCTAACTGTACGCATTCCTTTCCGTACTTCCACTATGTCGGAACTAAATATCTTTTTTTTAGATTCAGATATTACACAATGCAAATCTAAAATAGAAAAACTATATGTAATCATATTTTGCGTTTTATTCTTTCAACGTATGCGAAATACTTCGTTATTCTTACATCCTTGACCTCCGTGAAAAATCGGCGCGGGATCCAGTTGTATTTTTCGTAACAACAATGTAACCGGTTGATAATTTAATCCTTCTTGTACAAGAGTAGCGTAATAATCGACATACCTCCTCTGTGATGGTATTGTTACCCCTTTCCTAATAATAAACAACATCGATGAAATATCTGTATACGCACGATGAGAATATATTATAACACATAGTGTAACCACCTGTCGTGTGTTCTTTTAGTTCCATAGTAATTAAGGGCTTCTGTGGCAGTGGGAAATTGTTTAGTATGAAGAAGATAACAGCACACCATTACACCTGTTCGACCTTTACCCGCCTTACAGTGAACTACAGCCACATTTTCTTGATGCCGAGAAAGCCACTCGTGCACATCTTCGCAGAACGGTCTAATTTGATCCAACATTGGAGGATTATGATCATCGAACGCGTATGTAGCTACTCTTTGCTTAAATTTCTTAAAATCATACGACCTCTCTGAACATCTAAAAAAAATGCGTTTGATTTAAAATTCCTTTTTTCTTAACTCTTCCAACTAATAAAGGAGACAAGACAACAAAACAATTAATGAAAGTATGAAATGCTTACAGATTGTAAATCTTATAATGATCTTTATGTCTAGATTCCAACAGTTTAACAACATCATCTATATGATTCCTATACACTCCTTCTAACTTTTCTGCTGGGAAACCCATTGCTATTAAGTTATCTCTTATGTCTGTTATTAACATACTCTTAGTTAAGAAATATAGTCAAAAAACTAAAGCGTATTAAAAAATTATTCGTTCTACTTCATCCGTGAGGCAAGTGATTATGATAAAAGGATACATGTGAGATCAAGGTCAAAACCATCCTCTGTGAAACGCCTACGACGTTTGCTCACCATTCCCTTGATACGGTTGGTCATCTTCATATTACTAATAGTGTTGGACATACTTGGCTGACTGAATTTCCAAATGCCTACGTCAGCTTGAATAATTTCAGTCTCCACTTCTTCTTTACAACACCTTTCTTCTGTTTCCTGCTTTTCAAATAACTTTTTTGCCTAAAGTAAAAAAATAATTTATTTCCTATTATCTATACCGTTGCTATTGTTGAAGTACTTTATACCAAAAATAACAAATTTTACCTGTGGCTTATAAGCCGAGGCGTCACAAGAGCCCAGTTCTGGTCCTCTTTGTTCCTCCAGACAAACATGGAGGGGTGTTACTGATGCAGAGATATGTTCTGAGATTTTATTATTCAGCCTGCTGCCTGTAGGTCTCCTGCAGGAAAAGCATACACCCATTAATTCCCAAAACATGTGCTTTTTTTATCATCCATCTCATCAAGTTCTTATCTTCCTTTGCAATCGCTCGTCACATAATTATAATTTGATAATAATGTCACTATGACCATCACCAATTCGATGTAACAACTATTTTATAATTTACACAAAAGTAGAACTTTGTACAATTTGAGCACTGTACACAACACGATACACTAATAAACACTATGCGAGTGCTCAACTCAACAATTCAATCATGAATAATCGTAAACTTTTTAGGAAACATTAGACTTATGAAACAAACAGAAACATTTACCACATTATTCAAACTAATTTTTTACGCAAGAAATGATAACAAAATGACAAGATTACCCATCACCATCGCTAGAGGAAAATTACAAAAATCTGATGATAAATCACCAATTACAATAGATTCAATATACATATTTATATATACACGCACACCAACACATATACATAGATATATATCTATACATACATTCAGCAAACATACATCCATATATACATACATATTTAAATATATAAATATATATATTTATAT